CTTCGACCAGAAGAGCAGTGTTTGGCATAAGGTTGGTGGGCATAAGGTTGGTATTGAAGGTGACACTCCAGTCACATCGCCATTAAATGACCAAGTAAAATGAGTCCAGAGACACTGCTACCCATATCAGAATGTACTTAAAACTTGATAGAGGCATCTTGATTCAGATCATGTACATGACCTGTCGGCGGTCCGGGCGCGTTCAGACAGGGCACATCATGTTCACACCTAAAAGGGAAACACCAAAGGGTTCAATACCCCTCAAATTTGATATATGTGTAGCAACTGAAACAGCAGCAGTGTCTTTCAAATCTTTGTCTGCAAGAGACGAGCGCCTGAGGGCATAACCTCAGACGTATTGTATGTATATCATGCCAGTTGCAACCACGCCTGCAGTGGATGTATCTGACTGACCGCTATTACATCCCGGTGGGGGTGTTTTAAAAAAAAAAAAAAAAAAAAAAAAAAAAAGAGTTTAGTCCAAAAGGTGCGAGAGTGCCAGAGTGGCTATGCATCGAGTGTCTATCAAAAGACATAAAATAGATATAGAGGTTAATATATGGAAAGTGTTTTTAAAGCACCGGTACATGGGCACCTGGGCTGCAGGCCTGACACCTTGAAATCTGTAAGCGCGAAACGAAAACGCAACCGCCGATCCAATTTACCAACGGCAGGCCCAGCGTTTGACTTTTCGGCCCCTTGTTTTCTTGTGGGCGACGAGTTTCGGACTGCCAGGCTAGGGCCGTGTACTAGTGGGTTAAAGGTCTCTAGGGCCGTGTACTAGGGGGTTAAAGGTCTTTTTCTTTTCTTTTCTTTTTTTCCTTTTTTCTTTTTTTTTTTATGTGTATTAGCTGGAAATCGGGTCCAGCGTCCCTTTACAGTGATGTTGGGATATGGCATGCTATGCATCCAATACTATCTGTGTATGTTCGTCAATCAATATATGTCGCATGAAGGAAAACCCTATCCAGGATGTCTACCGGATCGCCGTAAAGAGCAGAGGCATTGATTACTTCCCCGCTCAAGGGAAGGATTGACCTCCAGCCCATACAGACCAATCCTATCGATCAAACCAAACATATCTGTGCAGTGCAAACACTGCCTATGTCTAGCTGCAGCTGCACAGCCCACTATAGATGTATAAAATGGAGAGAACATCTCCACGTAGAGGGTAGAAAGATATGCTTGCCATTTTATATGTATTTCTCACATTTGGAGAGACTCAGTGCCAGAGTCGGCAAACCCACAACCCTCGTCACGACGATGGACAAGCCTCACATCCAATGCTTCTTTTTTTTTGTCGGAGTTGAAAGTTTACACCACAGCGCACTAACAGGGTGCAAGGATTTTGGAAACATGGTGGAGTCCTAAGTCGACGCAAAAATCTCTCGTGCGTGGTTGCCATTGTAATATATTACGAAGGAGACAGACGAAACTGCAAGACAAAGGGGCAATCAAGATAAAAGTTCGGTCTCACATGAAATGAAAGCAAAATAGCTAGTAAACCACGCGCCAATGTTAAGAAAAGGGCATGTGTAAAGGCGTTGATCACCGTACCAAGGACAGGCGCGGCGCTTTTCAACAAAAAAAAAGGTTTGTGCAACGAGACCACCATGCATGAAACACTGGGACCCCAATCCCGCATCTCACCGCACTCATATGAGACACACAAAGCCCAAGAGAGCCTCAAAAGTCAACACGGAACTTGCAATGGTTGTCTTCTCTGTCGCCATCGACTATGGCCGCTCAGCTCAGTATGCAGATACATGTGCCTCCTTTTCCTCTCCCTCTTCCTCTCTTTGCTCTCACTCTCACAGGCCTCACTCGTCTCTCCGAATGTCTCTCTCTCTCTCTCTCTCTCTCTCTCTCTCTCTCTCTCTCTCTCTCTCTCTCTCTCTCTCTCTCTCTCTCTCTCTCTCTCTCATACTACAGCTATGGCTATGGCGCCCAGCATCGTTGACTACACTGTTGTACGCTCAATCTCACTCACTCATTCGCCTCTCCAATGTACAAGATCGCAACATCGCATCAATGTGGAAGCGCTGCTGCGATCTTGTGCGTTGGAGAGGTGACTGGCCGAGTAAGAGCGAGCGTAGAACATTGTGGTCAACAGCGCTGGGCGCCATAGCCATAGCTGTTGTGTGTGTGTGTGTGTGTGTGTGTGTGTGTGAGAGAGAGAGAGAGAGAGAGAGAGAGAGAGAGAGAGAGAGAGAGAGAGAGAGAGAGAGAGTTATGTTCGCTCAATTCCTATTCGACTCGCAAAGAGTTGTGTACATATTGCATACAACACAATAAGCTAGTGAGGGGAATTTCACAAATGCCCCCGGAAAAAGACGCTGGCAGCTCCCTCAATACCCTCCAAAATCAACTTGCGAATCTGGGTAACCAACGAGGCTACCGTATTAGGTGCACTTTTAGATGTGTACGAGCACTGAGATCCACTGCTTAAGCCACCAGTACTTCCTAGAGTCGCGCCCTTTAATGCGCCACGATTTCAGGAAACGTACGGGCTACTACAGGAGCGCACAAATTCATCCGACTACAAACGTTTCTACTCTTTTTTTTCCCTACTACAGGAGCGCCCAAATTCATCCGACTACAAACGTTTCTACTCTTTTTTTTCCCACGGCCGATAGCCAGGCAAGTACTGGTGGTTTAAGCTCATGACATCCGTTAAAACTCAAAATTAAAATAATACAGAGAAGATTTGCATGGCCCCTGGGCAAGGTTGCCACACATAAATCGACAAATGGTCCGAAAACACGACGACTATCTGGCTCGGTTGTGGGGTTGCAAGTTCGACCGCATTTCACAGGTTACAGATGGTTGGGTGATCCTGTCCAGACCATCAGGATTCCAGGTCCCACAGTCCCAGCCACCCTGTTTCCACCTCACTGGTTGACCAGTCCCAACCCCCTACTTTCCCATTCCCAACACCCTGGTTTCCTGCATTACTGGTTCCCCAGTCCCCACCCCCTACCGGTAGTTCTCGACTCCCACATCCCTGGTTCTCCAGTCCCCATCCCCTCGTTCTCAACGCCCACACCCCTGGTTCTCCAGTCCCAACCCCCTCAGTCTCGACTCCCACACCCCTGGTTCTCCAGTCCCAACACCCGCGTTCTCGACTCCCACACCCCTGGTCCTCCAGTCCCGACCCCCTCGTTCTCAACTCCCACACCCCTGGTTCTCCAGTCCCAACCTGCTGGTTTCCTACATTCCTGGCTCCCTAGTCCCACTTCCCCTGTTTGCAGATCCTTGGTTTGGCAGTCCCAAGCACTGATTCCGCAGTCCCAACCCCCTCATTTGCCACATTACAGGTTCCTGAGTCCCCACCTCCTGTTTCCCTGATCTCGATCCCCCTAGTTCCCTAGTCCAAGGCCCCAAATTCCCCGGTACCCATCCCCTGGTTTTCCAGTCCCAACCCCCAGGTTCCCCGCATTGTTGGTTTCCCAGGTCCAACCCCCTGGTTAACCACATTACAGGTTCTCCAGTCCCAAGACCCTTGCTCCACAGTTAGTCCCACAGCCCTGTTTCCCTAGTCCCATATCTCTGCTCTTCCAGTCAAATTGAATCCCACATCCACCACTCAGTGGTCAGTAGAATACCGTTCTCTTCTTGGTCTGGCATCCAATTCTGAGTGCATACAGGGGCCCTTCAAAGATGTAGGTCCGAACTGAGGGATCAACCATCAAGGGCCACATCGGCTGCCGACCCCCTGTGCGTTGCCTCATGAGGATTGCCGGAGAGTGTTGATATAGGGCCACTTGCGCCTCCCCTTGGGTTGTGCGGGGTCGTGTGGGGATGGGACAGGGGGAGGGTGGGATCAGTGGGGGGGAGATGGGGGGGTGGTGGAATACCAGGGTTCACCACTCTCCTAGCAGGCGCTACGACCGGTTCCCTTGGTAGCAGGTGAGAGGGTGCCTGATGGCCTGCTACCAGGGTGCCTTGGGGACCCCGGAACCTGAGTTTGAGGGTGGCGCACCCTGTTGCTGGCATCCGGGAAGCGTCGATCTCGGGCGATGCCCCCCGTGTGTGTGGTCGAGGTTGTGTGCTCTTGGGCTTGAGTGTCCTCGGACAGTGTGTGGGGGGTGGGTTCACTACGCTCGCCGTCAGGTGGGCTGAAATCTGTGCGCCCAGCCTCCTGACGAACATCCTCTCCTGGCACTATCCCCGACACCCCTCAAAACCTTTCAAAAAAAAAAAAGAAAGAAAAAAGAAGTATAACCTTTGTACCACAGTGAGTACCTCTTCAGTACCACCGCCCAACCCAAACCGTAAGTCAAGTCTTGTTGCCACCCGAGCTCAAGCCACCGGATAGAGACCACAGGTTCAGAACTCAATGAGGTAAGATATTCGGGCAAAATATAACACAGAGAGGTCAGGATTATCTGAAACACCATCCCATGACGACTTGAAATGCCAGAGAAGGGACTTGCATGCGCACTGAGCAGGCCTTTGAAGTTTGAAGGCATTTGCTAGCAACACAAAAGTACACAGGACAGGAGTGCCACTTATGGCAGCCAAAAGTCCAAGATCATTGCCACTGTCAGGATGCACATGGACATGCATACGGCAAGGAACATGGTCTGCTGCATCAGGACATGAAGATGCACAGTCACATTTTGAAAGTGCCAAGCTTGGAAAAAGATTGCCAAAAAAGTAATCACAGTTACATTTTGAAAGTGCCAAGCTTGGAAAAGGAGTGCCAAAAAAGTAATCACAGTTACATTTTGAAAGTGCCAAGCTTGGAAAAAGAGTGCCAAAAAAGTAATCACCTGCCAAAAAAGTAATCACCGTTACAGTTAAACAACGATTTTTGCCTTTCATCTTTGTCAGTGCCAAGCTTGGAAAAAGAGTGTCAAAAAAGTAACAACCGTGTCCAGTTTACATGACAATGATGAGATTGGCATGACCACTACTACACACACAAGGCTGAGACGTATCACAGCCTATACAGCATTAAGCGCACAAGGATGACTCTCACAAATCCAGACGTGATCCTACGTAAATAACTTACCTACACTTGACTGTAATCTCTGCCTTCTACCCAATACGCACCTTCACTGCTTGAGCCACTCCATCTCAGACCCTCTCTTCACCAATTGTATCTAAACTCCTCCGCATTTGACAGCTGCGGCCGTTGTACCCAACTTCACCGCACTATCTCCCCCACCCTATCCACTTCCACCTCATTGGCTTTCTGCTCTGTACATGTCTTTTCCTTTGCCCTTTCTTCTGCAGCATTGAATTTCCTCTTTGGTCATTCCATTCCCCTTTTTTTCTGCTCAGCCTTCCTCCATAGCCACTCTGTACAAATTCCCCCTCCCCAAACTGCATTCCGCGAGCTCAAGTTTTCTTCTTATGGCCCTTCGCTTTCCCTCCTTCTTTCCTTTTTTTCCGTACCGATGCCGCGGTTCCTTCCTCGCGGCTCTGCTGCTCCGCCCCATTGCCTTCCGTACTCTTTGCCCCTGCAGGCTGTTCTTTGGCCTTCCTTGTCCCAGCCTTTACATCCCTTCGACTCCCCTCCTTCAGAGGCATCTGTTGGCCTGCATCTGACTCTTGACCTGCCAGCTTCCTGCTCTCCTCCACAGGAATCCTGTCCCCCCCCCTCATTCCTGCATCCTCGTTGCCCGGCCCATCCTTCTCCTTAGCACTCTCTGCAAAGGTCACCCTTTTGCTCCCCGGCGAAGCATTCTCTCTGGGTGTTGCTTGGGGCGTATAATCAGTCCTGACCTCTGCTGCAGGCGGCACTCTGTCCCGTACTGACGTGGAAAGTGGCAGCATTCGAGAGCTCCCCCCAGGTGCATCATCGTCGTCATCATGATTATCCAGGTTTTCCCGATCAGAACCAGCATCCCGAAAGTCCCAATCATCCTCAGAATAATACACGATCGGTTGATATCGACAACACAGCCCACTCTGAAGCCAATCAGATTCCGTTTCGTCCACGTCATCCTCGAAATCCCAGCTATCACTTGCCTTAGGAGGGGCACACGGCCTCCATTTGCCATTGTTAGGCTTCTTGCTCCAACCTTTGGCTTGCGCTTCAGCCTCCTCAGGATTTAATTGCCCGCGATCTAAGCAGCCCTCCCCCTGCGTCTCGTCCTCAGCTACATCCACATCATCACCCCACGGGTACACATTACCGTACTCATGCTCACGTACGTATAGAAGCCTCAAGTTCCAATGAACATAGATAAGCTTTTCAAGAGTCGACCACGGCATCTTTCTCTTCCATTCCCTGAGAATAAAGCTCGGTTGCGGCACCCACTTCCTCTCACACGGAGAGGCAATGGACCATGTGTTCAATGCGCGAATGGCCACCTTCTGCAGAGCCGGATGGTCATTGCCGTGTTTCGCCCACCAAGTCGTACCGTGTATGTCAGCGTTGCTGGCATCGAGGTCACCCTGCTTCCCTCCCCACGCGTCACTCGCCGAAGGATCTCTCCTGTGGAAGACAGGGAGAGACGCGAAGGCTGCCACAAACTCCTCAGACTGACGCCCCCCACATACCCTTTCTAAATATAGTACGGCGTTTTCAATCGCAGATTGCGGGAAGCTTTTGATCCCGCCACCGTCCCTGTTCTTCGGATCCAAGAGGTAGGCAGCTCCATACGCAGGAGTCATTATCATCCCAACCCTTGACTTGATAGCATCGACCAAGCGGGCTTTCACATCCGCAGGGGCTTGCAGGGCATCCACTCTCTGCTCTAGGATACGACCGGTCTCCCACACCTTACTGCCACGTCGAGCGTCGGTGTCGAGCATCTTCATCAAATCGTTGATGGGCTTGAGTAAATTCACAACCTGCTGCACCCTTTCCCACCAAGCGCTATCCCTTACCAGATGGAACATCCTCTGTGCGGATTCTAGCAATCTGTCGGTCCAAGGCGTCAACTTCCACTTCTGCGAGCTCACCAACTTATGTAAGACCCACCGCATTTCCTGCAGCTTCTTCAGATTCAGCAAATCGACACCATACACGACGTCATCTGGCTTGATCAGATCCTTGCACCCTTCGATCTCTCTCATCATCGCAAGAGGCCGGCCGTGAGTCTTCACAAAGATTGTGATGTCTCGAGCCTCCAGGATGACAGTTTCTAGCCATAGATCGCTGTGCAGATCGTTCAGGAGCAAATTACACCAGTCCACGGCACAAGGAACCCAAGGGATGGAACTGATGGCTTGGTCCTCGGACAAGGACAAAAGTTTTGCAGCGTCAACGTTGACAAGTCCAAAGTCTGTGACTATGGCATCGATCAGATGAGGGCCCACCTCGGAGATCGTGTGGGCCCACTCCTTCGCCAGCACCACAGGCGGCAACCGCAGTTTGCTCATGTCCTGAGTCTTGAGCAGAAACATGCCCGTCTCGCCTCCCAGGACAAAGTTCATGATGGAAGTAGTTGACGTGGTGCCGTTCGTTAAAAAACTGCAGGCCATCTTCCACGACGATCGCAACGCCGCCACACGTTCCTCTAGTTCAGCCTTGACGGCATCAAGCAGGGAGGTAGCAAGAGCCTCGTATGTCGGGGGTGGAATTTTGTATTCGTCGTCGACAAGAACCATGTAAACTTCATGCAATTTTTGAAACGTGAAATGCAAGACAGTTCGAAAGGGGATGCCACACGCGTAAAAGAACCTGGCGGTCGCCATGTGCACATTCTTCTGGTACTCTTCCGGGGTGATTTTCTTCTCCACAGGCTCATCGTTATTTCCTACCACCGTAAAACCACCACCATGAGTACCAGCACCATGATCTTTGTTCCCACGGTTACCCTCATCCGCTGCTGCAGCTGCAGCAACAGCCACACGACCCGTTGTCGGTGCGGCCTCATTCGCAGCTCCACCTTGCCCCTGACACCCCATGTCCGAACTCTCCTCCTCCTCCTCCTCACTGTCGCAATCGTCGTCTCCATTGCCACCGTCATCATTCTCATGGTCCCATTTTGTACCGCTTGTCTTCCAAACAAAGTCCTCGACTAAGTGCCATAGTTTCTGGGGGATGACAGCTCCTTTCTGCTGCAGAGCATGGAGAATCTTTCCACTTGTACCTCTGCATCGTGCAGTGTCTGACGGATTGGTGAAGTGGAAACAGGCTCTCGACTGCGGACCCACAAACTCTTTTCCACACAGTTTGCACTTGAGTCTATAAGATCCATGGGAGTTACCCCGTTTCTTCTGACCCCTTGTAATCCATTCCCAAACAGGGTGCTTTGCCTGCAACACCTCCTCCTCAGCTTGTGTTGGAGGTCGAAACGGAGACTCATTTCCCCGATCGCTCGCCATATTGAACTAGCCTTGTCTTCGCCGTCGCACAGTGCCGAGCAATCCGTTGCTACAAAGCTGCAGTGTGCGTTGCTGCCTGAGTCATGCTACACCAAACATGCGGTCCACCCCAAGAACCAGCACTTGATGACCTGCTGACTTTGTCCTCTCAGAGCATACCAACACTACCAACGTCTCCAATAAAGCGGCCGGCGTAATCATGGCGAGAGACATCCAGCCAACTGGAAGTGCAAGTTGAATACGCCCTAATCTTGATGCTATGTAAAAAAAAAAAAAGAACGATGCTATCTTCGCCTTATTGTCGGGTGAATAGAGGACGACATGACAGCCCCCTTAGCTGCTGCCGCCCTCGAGAGTTCTATTCTTGCCGCCAAACTGCTGCTTTAAACACTTTGCTCGCAGTCGGTTTTCGACCCGCTGCTGCTTCAAAGCCCATGCTTGTGGTTTGGCGTTGACCAACTCATGCGGCTCCAAACACAGTGCTTGTGGCTTGTCTTTKACCAGCTGCTGCTGCTTCAAACGCTTCAAACACCATGCCTGCGTGTTTGACTTTGTCCTGATATTTCAAATATAATTCTTGTTGTTTGACTTTGACCACATGCTGCTCCTTTAAACACTGACTTTGACCAGCTGCCACTTCTTCAAACACCACGCTTGTGGTTTGAATTTGACAGCCGCTGCTGCTGCTTTCAGACACAGTGGGTGGTTATCGTTTGACTTTGACCAACCACCAATTCTTCAAACACCGTGCTTTTCAATGGACTTTGACCAGCTGGTGGTGGTTTGACTTTGACCAGCTGCCACTTCTTCAAACGCCATGCTTGAGGTTTGAATTTGACAGCCGCTGCTGCTGCTTTCAGACACGGTGGGTGGTTATCGTTTGACTTTGACCAACCACCAATTCTTCAAGCACCGTGCTTTTCGATGGACTTCGGCCAGCTGGTAGTGGTTTGACTTTGACCGGCTGCTGCTGCTTCAAACACCCTGGTCGTATCCACTTCGATCTGCTTCTGTTGGAGCTGCTGCAAACATTTTGCTCGTGGTTCGACTTGGACCTACTGCTGCTACTGCCCCAGCCACCGTGCTCGTGGTTCGACAACGATGCTCCCAGCACATTGTTCGTGGTTTGACTTTGACCTGCAGAGAAACCCCAATCAGTAAGCCTGGTTCTATAACAACGAGGAACTGCCCACTAAACTATGATATGATTTCTGCTTGCTTTTTTATTTTGTAAACGGGCCCCAGTACCCCCAATGCTTTGGTTATGAATTTGAAATACACAGATGATACCGGTTAGCCTTGCCGCACCTGGGGAGCTTTCGTTTTGGTTTGGAGTCCTGCCACACCGCAGATGGAAAAGAGAAATGAGGCAGCCTCATTATCTGCCCCGCAGTAGCCCCTGACAGCCATGTCTTAGAATTCAGAAAACATAAAATTAAATTAAATTAATAGGCTACCAGCCGGGCCGGCCCGGTCACCTTGTTTGCCCGTGTGGCCAAGGTGACCCGGGCAGCCTGGCCGTGGAAGGACCAAGGAAGGTCCCAGCAAGAAAAAAAAAATCTAAGAAAACATGATGTGATGCAGAAAAATGAACTGAACAACTTTTGCCTCAGGGTCACATATATATATATAGTCAAACAGAGCTGCCCAGTAAACCGTAGGCAGAGAGGGAGAAGAGGACAACAAATATATGTCTGGAGTGTATTTTTTGGCTGTGACAGACCTACCTTTGTTTCGTGGGTGTTTTGCTTGGTTGTTGCTTGTGATGGGGTGTGAACCGACAGTCTGTAGAGTTTTCCATCTGGTGTGGGTGAGTGATAGTCTGCTTTGACTTTTGCCACAGGTACCTTGAGGGCAGTGGTTGGTGCCCACCTCAGAGTATCAGTTGTCGGGCAGTCGTTGATGCTTAACCACAGCTGGGGTTAAGGTGGATTATCACTTACAGTGTAATCAGTTAGGGGATTCTGCAGACTGTTGAGGGTTCAGCCTCCTGATGAGTCGGTGAAACTCCTACGAAACAGTTTGTCACAGCCCCTCATTTGTTGTCCTCTTCTCCCTCTCTGCCTACCGTTTACTGGGCAGCTCTGTTTGATGACATACAGGGTCACCAGCCCGTACGTACGGGGGACCCCGGGCAGACCTCTGTACGTACGGGCGTTCGGGGTCCCGTACGGGGTCGGCCCCCGCCAAAAATTATTTCGGGGTCTAAAAATATATTTTTTTTTTCAATTTTTTTTTGTGAGTTCTCTACGACGTGAGGTAAATGCCTGTAAATTTTCAAGTCATTTTGCAAAGCCAAATAAGAACTAAAAATCGCCAAAGATGGCGGTGTCAAAACGTGCTCGCCCACATATTTTTTCACTTTTTACTTTTTGTTTTCACTTTAGTTCGGGGTCTAAAAACTTTTATTATTTTTTGAAACTTTTTTAGTGCCTTTTGTATTCTGTGAAGTACACATCTGTAAATTTTCAGGGCATTTAGCTACGCCAAAAAAAAAAGAGAAATCGCCAAAGATGGCAGTGTCGAAAACATGCTCACGTACTCACTAAATTTAATTCTCTTTTTATTTTTATTTATTTTTGTTATTAGTATTTGTTTTTCGTATTTTATTTTTATTTCAAATTTGGTAAGGAATTAGGATGTAATGATCAGGCAAATCTTGTTTAATTTATTTTTCTCCATAACATATCTTTTTTTCAGATTTTTTTGATGAACTTTTTTCTTTTTTTCTTTTTTTTTTTGGGTCCGCGTTCGGCCCAAATGGCCGAACGCATCCCCAAGGGGTCCCATACGTTCGGCGTTCGGGTTCGGGCGTTCGGCCCGTCCAGAGCGCGGGTTACCCTGTATATATATATATATATATATATATTCAGCCGCCTGATGAGTCGGTGAAACAGTTTGTCACAGCCCCTCGTTTGTTGTCCTCTTCTCCCTCTCTGCCTACGGTTTACCGGGCAGTTCTATTTGACGATATATATATATAT